CCACAAGTCCTCCTTTTCTTTGTGTGGAGAAGCTGATCCTTTCTTCAAGGAACTCAGATAAAATGTAACAATACCCCCTATACTTGGGTCACCAGACGAGCTTGAATCCAGCACCTCCAGATATAAAAGCCTGAGCTTTTATCATCTGAGTTAAAGAACTAATTCCTTAGCTGAGGCCAATAGCAGATCTTCATCTTTTACAGAAGCGACAAAAACACATAGGTTAATAGTTTCTCAAGTTATTTTGGACCCCCAAAAGGGGCCTGATTTTCAGAGGGCAGGAACTCAGCACTTTCTAAAAATTAGCCCCTTTTAAGGTGTTTCAAGTTGGGCAACTGAGGAACCCCAAATCACTAGTTGCTTTTGAAAATCCTGACCATGCTACGCTCACGTGATACAACTGCAAATCCACTTATTGCCGATGCTAGCTGAAGTGCCTTAGCAGTGGCGTCTCCACAGCTGTTTCCATCGTGTTGTTTCATTCAGGGTCGACACTAATATTTAAACATTATTTCCGTACGAGGGGGCTCTCTGGTGGTGGCCTGGGGAGCTCAAGGACTTCCTCTGATATTGTGCCTAACTGAGGAGAGCAGGGAAACTGTAAGATGTTTGGTTCAGAGATCTTTTTATTCTGTGTTTGTACAGCGCCTAGCACAATGGCCTTTTGGTCTATGACTGGGGCTCCCAGGTGGTACCACAATACAACTAATTAATACTAAAACTGCCTGATGTGTTGTCACAGATCCACTGGCCCTGTGCTATTCTTAAAGTGTCCCATAGAGCAACCTGTTCAATATGCCAGACTCCCCAGGGGTCCCACTCTTCCTTAAGTGTCGGCCATGCCGCCCCAATGCTTCTGAGATGTGCCCCTGGGTTCCAGCACTCCTGTTTCATCCCAGGAGCTCTGCCCAGCGAGCCAGACTCCTCCTCAGAGACTTTTCCACTCTTCAGAGACCAAAGCACCTCAGCAAGTATTTACAGTGACACCAGGCAGCCTTTTCAAAACAGAGTAGGGTTTATTAGTCACCTGGAACCCAGCACCAGGAAGTCTTTAGGTTAGCACAGAGAAGCAAAGGTGAAGACATAGTCCGTGCTGGCCAAGCCAGGGCTTGCTTGACTCATGCTGCTGAAGAGAACATCCTAGTTTCCTCTTTCTATCTCTGTCCTTTGGTCTGTCAATCCCAGGTGAGCCCCGGTGTCTCTCCAGAGGCCAGCTTGTATCTAGGCTCCTGTCACCTCTCGGTCCATTCCTTCCTCCTGCAGACCCATGCAGAGTTCGCATGTTTCACCTGCTGGAGTTTCCTTTTGTTAGGCATCAGTTGTTCAGTCCCTGGGGTTCCCGTTGTCTTTCTGAGATCCTTCATTAATATGGGTCAGATTTAGCCATTTCTGACCCATTCAAGTCAGTGACAGTGATGTGACACAAACACCTCATGTCTCCTGTTCCGCCCCAAGAGCAGCTGCTTAGCTCTTTTGCACCCACTGGGTAGCAATCCATAGTGAAGTTACTGCCATCCATATCGCTCATGGAAATATTACAGAAAAATCCCATTTTGTCACATATGTCAGACTTGTTCGTCCTGCCATTGCTTATTACTATTAATTGTTTGTATTACAAGGGCTTAGAGGACCCAACCAACAGAATCGCCAACCTCAAGGATTCCGAAAATTATGAGTCAGGCCCCTATGAGATTTGCTTTAAAATAATGAAATTTTTAACAATAAATGGTGGGGTGTTGTTGTTGTTTTTTTGCTTCTTGTTTTTGATTCTTTAGGTTTCACATTTTCAAGCTTGTCTCAGCAAATATGTGGGCTAGAAACTTATGTGAGACTTACCGAGCAGAAAGTCTCACATAATCTCATGACTGCAAGAGCTGGGGCTTTAAAAAAAATCACAACACCAAGACCATGGTCTCATTGTGCCAGGCACTATACAAACACATAGAAACAATCCTTGCTCTGCCAAGCATATAATCTAAATAGATAAGTCAGACAGGAAGTGAAGTGGTTTGTCCAAGGTCACACAGCAGATCAGTGGCAGAACCAGGATTAAATGATGGTCTCTTGACTGCTATACTACCCACTAGATCACACTGCCTCTTTCCTGTGTCCTCCCTGTCCCCTCTACACACCCAGTTTGTCTCTTTTATCCACCTGTTGCATCTTGTCATCAATCTAGAGTCAGACCATGAGTAATCTGGGGCAGGGTCTTGTAATGTACAATCTTGTATGTACAGCACCTAGCACAACGGTTCCCCAAATCCTAATTGGGACCCTAGGCGCTACCATAATATATAAAAGAAATAATAACTAGCGTGGGGCTGGAGTGGCTTCCCAGCAGCCCTATTGGTAGCCGTATCTGTGACGGTGGCCATGGAGCTCCTGTGGGCAGCTGAAGCCAGTGGCTGGGCAACCAGCCTTGACTTAGCCACTGGCTCCTTGATCAGCCAGTGGTGCTGCCTGCATCCTCCGCAAACAGACTAGCAAGCACAGCAGCAGGACACGTGTCCCTGATATTGAAATTTGTATTCAATGGGCAGAAATCTGATCTTTTTTTCCAGGTTTAACCAGACAAATAAAGCCCCTGGCCTGCAGTGCTCCACCCTAATTGCTCTATTGTTCAGGATTTTTCCTTCCTAGCTAGGAAACGAAAGGGTTACAACCATAGAGCTTCCAAATCATCTGGCTCTTAGTGGAGATGAGGAAACACAGGGAGGGGGAGATTTAACAAAGACCTTCCTGGTCTCAGCCTCTCCCTGACTCCAAGTGGCTGAGCCTTGTTGCTGGGACAGCTCTCAGCTCCTTCTGCCTGCAATGGCTGGATCCCCTTCTCCACTGATGACCCCAAAAGGGGAGTAACTTGTCCTCATCCCACAGCAGGAGCGGTGAGTTAGGAGGAGAGCACGGTCTAGGGAAGGGGACAGAAAGGCGGTCCTTCCCCTGGAAAAAGCAAACAAGGGAGGCAAAAAATTCATTGCCTGAGCTAAGTGGGGCGGAAAGGAGCATAGGAATCGAAATCTGAGCCAGGCACCTCTTACTGAGGCGAGCTAAGAGGCAAGGACCCAAGAGGCAAGGACCCGGAGGTGGCTGTCACTCTTTTCCGAGTCATGTCCCGTAGCGTGCTGTCTGTCTTTAAGAATAATCCCCGGCTCTCCTATCGCGCGTTCCATCAGTAGATCTCAAAGCATTTTACAGAGGAGATCAATACCCTGATTCCCATTTTACCCTTGGGGAAACGGAGGCACGGAGCAGCGAAGTGACTTGCCCCAGGTCACCCCAGGTCTCCCAAGGCCTAGTCCAGTGTGGTGTCCGCTAGCCCACCCAGGTTCACATAACTGAACGTGGTCCACTCTCGAGAAAATCAAAAGCAGTTTGAAACCACAGCTGCCCTTGTGCTGCAGTGACCATGTACAACATTCCTCTGAGGAGGGGCAGAATCTAGTGAGAGGTTGGGCGGTCTAGTGGATAGCATCAGAGGGGTAGCCGTGTTGCTCTGGATCTATAAAAACAGCAAAGAGTCCTGTGGCGCCTTATAGACTAACAGATAGTGGATAGTGTAAGTTAGAGGGGCCCCAGGACTATTCTAACTTACTTCATGAACCGGGCTGGCTTCAGATCATAGCAGAGCTTAGGTGGAACTGAGAATTGGGCACTTCGGACTGGGATAAATAACTACACAAGGTGCCAGGCAAAGGAGGACTGGACTGTGCCCCATCTGTCCTGGCTTTCCATTTAAAAAGAGCAGGAAACATAGGGCCAGACCTCGTCGCTGGTGTAAATAAAGTGTAGTTCCGTTGACTTCAGGGCGAGAATTGTATTAATTTGCAAGCACCCTGGATTATTTTATTTCCTATTCCCACACCCCCTTACTTGGAAGCTCTGGGGTGAAAACTGGGCCCCATTTTAATCATTGGGCGGTGTGGGGGTTGCCATTGACCCTGGTCTTTCTGCCGATTTATACAGGGGCATGTTCTAATTTCCAAGAGACATCCCCAAATAGTTTCTCATCCATTCAAATTACATCCCTCCCAACTGGCCAAAAACTAGTGTGGTCTTAAAATACTGGAACATTCTTTGTACCAGCTAGTAATGATTATTTATTTGTATTATCGTAGTGCCTAGGGACCCCGTCATGGACAAGAACCTCATGGTGCCAGGACCTGTACAAACACAGAAGAAGACAGTCCCTGCCCCAATAAAGTGTGATAGTCCCTGTTTTATTGCCTGGGATCAGGAGCATTTCTCACTTTTGAACCCAGATGTGAGGTGCTGGATGGCTGAGTCATAGAATATCAGGGTTGGAAGGGACCTCAGGAGGTCCTCTAGTCCAACCCCCTGCTCAAAGCAGGACCAATCCCCATTTTTTGGCCCAGATCCCTAAATGGCCCCCTCAAGGATTGAGCTCACAACCCTGCGTTTAGCAGGCCAATGCTCAAACCACTGAGCTATCGTGCTCCCCAGGTTTTGAGGAGCTCCCCAGAGACAACTGTGCAGGTAAGGAATAAGTGACCTCCTTATCAACGAGCAAAGCAAAAATGTAGAATTCCAACCAAGTGGTTGTGAGCCCTTGGATTCCTGTCTCATCGTGTCCAGTATTGTAATCAGCAGTTGCCAGATCTTTAGAGGAAAGATCATGCCCAGTTTCCAACCAGGACTGACTTTTGCAAGTGGGGGGGACACCCACCCCCCAGCAATCCTTCATCTGAGGTCCAAATGTACTGCTGTCCTGTACCCTGTGTCGTCATGTACACCACAGCAAAGTGGGTATAAATTAGTACCAAATTGGAATGGTAGTGGTTTACACCCACGTCACACTCCCCCTACACTGGTGCAAATGATCACTCCAGGTGCAGGGCTGCAGAGACTAGGACCTCATTCCCATATACTGGTGCCCTGAAGTGGGCATAAACAACTCCCTGAGAATACCCTCTGTGCAGGCTCCTTGCTAGTGCATGCAGAGCTGGTGTAAGGGGTCTGCATCAGCCCTGATTGTAGGGAGTATGTCGGAGGTGTGGCCAGAATGTACTATGCTCTGAGTAGCCTCGCTTCTCAAGGCCCACAAGGGGTAATGGGAAGCAGAGTGTAAATTAGAGCAGCCCCAAGGCTGCTCTAACTTACACCAGAGTGTGGCCAGGCCCTGAATACAGGATGTACAGAGGTGACTTTGTTACCTTTGCCCTGCCATAGCACAGGAATAGACTAACTGAGAACTGGGTGCCCAGTGTGTTTAGATGGGATGCAAATCAAAGATTGCTCCACCTTGCTCTTCGGGGGGTGGGGGGGTTCGGCTCCAGAGCTGCAGTATCAAAGGGTTTGTTTCCCAGCTTAAAACGCCTGTCTCTCACGCACAGGGAGTGACTCGTGCCTGGACGCTCTTTCTGTTCCAGCAGATGTTGAGGTCAGTAATGGCAACAAGGACGTAGATCACCATCCAGGAGGCCCTGAGGAGGCAGAACCACTTAGTGTATTGGGCAGAAGGTCCAAAGAGTATGTTGCCCAGCATTCTTGCCAAGGGGAAGCCTGCGAGGACCAACACAGTTCGGAAAGGAATCAGACAAGCCGTCCAGAGAAGAGGCAAGGGAAATCTGATCTGGCTGAAAGGGAATATAAAGACCTCCTCGCCCACCCTCCTTGCCACAAAAAAGAGAAGGCCTACAAATGTCTGCAGTGTGGGAAAAGCTTCTACCAGAGCGCGGCCCTCATTCGACACCAGTTAATCCACTCAGAAGACCAACCCTACAAGTGTCCTGACTGCGGGAAGACCTTCACGCAGAGCTCACACCTGGTGTACCACCAGGGGACCCACACAGGAGAGCGACCCTACCGATGCGGAGAGAACTTCAACCAGAGCTCGCATTTGGGGTACCACCAGAAAACCCACGCCAGGGAGCAACCCTATGAATGTGAGGAGTGCGGGAAGGGCTTCTACCAGAGCTCGCACTTTGTTTACCACCAGCGCAGCCACTGGGGAGAGCGACCCTACTGGTGTTGGGATTGCGGTAAGAGCTTCTGCCTGAGCTCCAACCTTCTCACCCACCAGAGGATCCACACTGGAGAGCGATCCTATCAATGCCGGGAGTGTGGGAAGGGCTTCTACCAGAGCTCTCACTTCGTGTACCACCAGGGGACCCACACGGGCGAGTGGCCCTACAAATGCCCCGGGTGTGGGAGGAGCTTCAGCCTGAGCTCCAACCTTCTGAAGCATCAGAAGATCCATGTGGGAGACAGACCCTACAAATGCAGCCAGTGTGGGAAGAGCTTTAGTCAGAGCTCCAACCTGATCCAGAATCAACGGATCCATGTGGATGAGGGACCCGATTCCCCTCCTTAATGTAGCATTCCCAGACTGGATCAGCCCCAGGGTCGATCTAGCCCAGTGCCCTGTCTCTGACAGTAGCCAGCACTGAGAGCCCCACAGCAGGCAGATGTGGGATAATCTGCCCTCCCATTAAGGGGATGTTGGCCGTAGAATTTGGACATCCAGTGGGAGGCTTTCAAAAGCATCTGAGAATCTGTGGAACTTGTGCTTCTAAATCTCTTAGGTGCTTCTGAAAATCTCCTCCTGACCATATATTTTAGAGACATTTTTGTCTTCTGCTTTCTTGTCTTCTGCTCCTATAGAGAAGCTAAACTGGGGCGGGGGGGGGGGGGTTAGGATTGGGATCAGCCCATAAGGCAGCCCAAGAAACCAAGGGCAGTACAGGAGTGAATCCAGCTCCTTTCTCTCTGTTATGAGATGAGTTACTGCAGCAGCAGCCAGATGGGTGGAGATCAGCAGTGATTTCTGGGACGACTAAACCTGAAAGCAGAACCACCAGAGTGGTAGGGTGGGCAGCCAGACTGGTATATCATTTAATAAAGAGGCAACAGCAGAAAGAGCTGAAACATGGCTGGGTCCAGGCTTCAGGAACAGCAGGCACTGGTCTCTTACAGACCTGGGCATATGGCCTGTAAGTGCCCGAAAGGACAAAAAAACAGAGCAATCTTGACATAAACTGGGCAGTCACATTTAAGATTGCCACCAGACTGTGGGTAAAGTTCTAGTGGACCAGGGAAAAGAGGAAAAAGCAATCCCCCTTGTTCTCAGCTGAATGGAGCACGGCGGACATGCAGAGCAGATGAAGCAAACGGGATGGTTTTGAGGTGGCACATGACAAGGATATTTGGGGCCAGATTTTCAGTGTGTTGGGTGCACGCTGGGTCTTTTACTCATTTTCAAATTTGGCCCATCGCGGTTTGAAAAACCTGGTCCTTAGTTGAGTGCTTCAATGGGTGCTGAGCTCTTTTGAAAATCTGACCCTGTGTTGATCAGCATTGGGGTGGGGTGGGGATGGGTGGTCTGAAGAGGTCTTGAAATGTTTCTGAATTGTTTTCTCCGGAGCTGAGTGCTTGAAGGAAAGGCAGGCCATAGGCTCCCTGATTTGGTGTAATGATGATGCCCAGGCATGGCACGAAGTGGGTATTCACCCACGAAAGCTTATGCTCCAATACGTCTGTTAGTCTATAAGGTGCCACTGGACTCTTTGCCGCTTTTACAGATCCAGACTAACACGGCTACCCCTCTGATACTTGAGAGTAAAGTGTGATCCGGGGCCCTAAGCATTGTGTTGTTTTGCCTTGCAGACACTTTCCAAGTGTATTGGGAGGGGAAAAGTAGAGGGTAGGAACACGGAAATGGCCAGACTAGCTCAGACCTGAGGTTCATCTGATCCAGTATCCCATCTCCACCAGTGGCCAGCAGCAGCTACTTCAGAGGAAGGTGTAAGAACCCCACAGTAGCAGATGTTGGATTATCTGGCCCCACATTAGGTCTCTAATAGAGAGCTGTTTAAGTCCTGAAGCATGAGATTTAATAGTTCTGCTCATGGCAGCAGTCACTGTTCTAACTCTGGATTTTTTCTGTTATCCTTGTAAACGTCCACACCCTTTTTGAAGGACTCATTGGAATTTTAGAGTGAATTCACCACTTGTGCCCAATGTCATGTTACTTGGATCAATCACTAGGCACCCTCACATTATCCTCATCAGATCCAAAAGGGGGGAGCAGCACTGAAACCAAAGAGGAGGATCTGCTATAGGCTCATAGCTTTGTGACGTTACAGAAAGACTTGGGTTTGGGGGTCTTGCCTTCTTGCTTATCGGATAAACAACCCTATCACTTTTTCAATGTTGCACTTGTCATCGTCTTTATTTCCTGGGTCTCGGGTGGTCCTGTTATAAAGGGCAAAGGCCGAGATTTTCCAAGATGCCTAAGGAAGATCCCACTCACAGTCAATAGGACTTTCTTGGTTTAGGTCTTGTCTTTCAAAATTGTGGGAGCTGAGCTCTATGGTCTGTGATATACAGGAGGTCAGATTGATCATCACAATGGTCCCTTCTGGCCTCGGAATCTATGAAAATAATACTCTAGTCTCTAAAGTGCCACAGGACTCGTTGTTTTCGCTCTTACATAGTGCTTTTCAGCCATAGATCTCACAGCACTTTACAAAGGATGGCAGTATCATTATCCCCATTTTACAGATGGAGACACTGAGGCACAGAAAAGTGACCCAACTTGCCCTAGGCCACTGGTAGAGCTAGGATGAGAACTCATGTCTCCTAAGGCCTAGTCCAGGGCACTAGCCACTATTCCACACTGCCTCCCAAAGCTTATATGACTGTAGATAAAGTGGCAACCCCCCCACCCCAGTGCAGCTGCAGCTATACCTATATATTTGTGCCATATAAAGTATAGCTTATTCCCCTCTGGACCAGCTCTTGAGGGACAACATGATCCTCCCAGTAGAGGACTGGCCCCCAAATTTTCCTCTTACTTACACGAGTAGAAATCAGACTTTTCTGGTTTTCCAGTTTTCCCCCAAATCAATAGGATTCTGTGCCCTGATGCCTAGAACATTCCCTGAGATTCTGAACTAGATGGGATGTGGCATTCAAAAGTTCTCACACGACCAATGGAAAGACAAATAGGGAAATGCCACTGAGTTGTGTACAGAGCTTCCCTTTGTTTGACCAAAAAACCAGCAAATCCTTAAAATGCCCCTCTCCTGTGATGCCTGCAGAACACTAGACAAAGGCTAGACAGGTGGTGTGGGGACCACATTAAACCCAGTCTTGCGAACCCCAAATATGGGGGGCGGGGGGGAAACACTAATGAAACAAGCCTCCCAAACTCATGAGATTGGCTAAAAAATCCTGGGATTAAAAAAATTTGGGGTTATTTTAGAACTTTTAGGGGTCACGTTTTTCAGTTTTTCTCTACTACTGCGAAGACTAGAAACAAACTTAATTTTTTTTTTAAATGCAAACTTAGATTCACACCGAACCCCATGACTCCAAGAGCTGGGGCTTTAAGAAATACCAACTGTCGGATGAGTCTCTGCACACTGCCCTGTTACCCTAATGGTCTTCTCCCCGCGCCAACGTTGGCCCCGGCTTTGCCCCCGCCTACTCGCTGGTGTAAGCTGCTGCATAAGGGTGCAGTAACCTACTCCTCTTCAGAGCATGGGAAAGCCGCTGCATAGAACCAGGGGAGCTGAGCACCTTGGAAACCTGGCTCTTATGTGTTGGGGTTATGTGAAGGGTTAAGTAAAGACCTGGGTAAAGATCATGGTAACAGGGAGTGAGGCACAGGTCAGCACTATTTCTTCGCTTGATAAAGTTGCCGTCCTTTTCCCTTCCCTTCTGCGTGGTAAGGATAGATAAGCGTTGCAGCTGCATAAAGAATGCGGTTGTCTGAAGGATCCCCCTTGAGTAAAGAAGTGTTATCTCCCCCTTCCTTCCTTTCCCAGCTACAAAAACGAGCTCAGGGGTCATGGCCCCTTCCTCCTTCCCCTGTGAACTACTGATTAAGGGAACTTGTGGCTACAATTACTGCAAAGAAATGTACCTTAATGGTAAAAATGTCTGTACACCATGCTTAATACTGTAAGCAGTAAACAGGGGCGGGTATAATTATATTCAGTATCTAGCTATTAATATTCATTAGATGGGCATTCATATTACTGAATAAGGGTTTTGGAAGGGTGTTGTAGTAAATGTGGGTATTTACATATTAACTTAGATGAAAGAGTGAGACATGACGAACTCGGGGCTTACTCGACGACTGGGTCGAGGGGAAGGAGTACCGTGAGAAAGAAGTCCCTTTACTCAATCCCCCCGGGTCCTCCTGCTCCTTCTTTCCATCTCTAACATGATGGTCTTCCAGGCATGGCGTAGCAGTCGAGAAACAAGACAGCCCAGACTTTCTGCCAGGATTCAGAAGAGAAGATGAATGAGAACCAGTCACAAGGTAGGGCAGGGGTGGCCAGCCTGGGGCTCCGGAGCCACATGCAGCTTTTCAGAGGTTAACACGCGGCTCCTTGTCTAGGCCCTGACTCCCGGGCTGGAGCTGCAGGCGCCAGTTCCAGTGTGCCAGGGGGTGCTCACTGCTCAACTCAGGCCTTGCCCCGACTCCACCCCTTCCTGCCCCTTCCCCTGAGCCTGCTCCTGCACCCCTGGAAACAGCAGATCGGGAGGTGCGGGGAGTCCGGGAGGGAAGGGGAGGCACTGATCAGCAGGGCTGGGAGGTGCTGGGAGCGGGGGGAACTGATGGGGGGCTGCTGACGTGTTTCTTTGGCAAGGTACACTGGTAAATTCTGGCTCCTTCTCAGGCTCAGGCGGGCCACCCCCGAGGTAGGGCATTAGAGTGGGCCAAATCATCTGTTGGTGTAAATCAGCTGCAGCTCCGCTGAAGTTAATGGAGCGATGGGTGATTTACACCCGCGGGGGGGATCTGGCCCCACGGATTTCAGCGCCTCTGGCGGCTGATTTACAGCCGCTGAGGCTCTGGCCTCATCCATTTCAACGGCGCTATGGCAGATTTACACCCGTGGGGGATCTGGCCCCATGGAATTCAGCAGCGCTAGTGGCCGATTTACACCCGCCGGGGCTCTGGCCCCGCGGATTTCAGCAGCGCCCCTTGGTACAGCGCCGTGCGCCGGGGGCTGAAGCGCGCTGTTACCGCGGGCCACGCTCCCCCCGCCCCGGGCGCAGCCCCCTGAGCCTCGGCGGGTCCCCGGGCTGCGCGAAGGCTTCAGACCATAGAGCTGCCGCCTCCGCCCGTCGCTGGAGCTCACAGGCCGGGGGGAGCGAATAGAGCAGGGACCTTCCTGTTCCCAGCCTCCTCCGGCTCGCGGCAGCCCGCAGCCCCCGGGTAGCCTCCTCCCGCAGCCCCCGCGCGCCGGGAGAGCGCCCCGGAGCCGAGACCCAGGGCCCGTCCGCTGGGGTGAGCCGGGCTGCGGGGCCGGGGCCGGGGCGGCGCAGGGAGAGGCTGACCCGGGGGGAAGGGGAAGCGCCAGCCGGGGAGGCGAGAAATTGCTGCCCCTGGGGAGCAGGCGGGGATCGGGAGCCTGGCGGGCGGGGAACAGGGCCAAGGTGGCTGCGGCCCCCCAGCCACTTGCAAAGGGGGGGCAGGCGGCACGGCCTAAGGGGCCAGCAGGCTACCGAGGGGCTTGCAACGCGCCCGTCCCTGGGACTCCAGTGCCCCGTGCCAGGGTGGGGGCACTCAGAGTGCGCCCTTTTTTGGCTAGTGGTTAGATGCCTTGTAGTGCAACCGGGGTGCTGGGGAGCAGGGGCTGGGATCCTGGATCGGGGGGGGGGGTGATGCGGGGGAGCAGAGGGAGGGATGGGGGGGTCCTGGATGGGGGGGTGATGCGGGGGAGCAGAGGGAGGGATCGGGGGTTGCGGCAGGGGAGCAGAGGGCGGGATCCAGGATCGCTGCAGGGGAGCAGGGGCTGGGATCCAGGATCTGGGGTTTGTTGCTTGTGAACCTTAATTTAGTTCTCTCCCATGGTATTATTCTGATTACTTTATATTACACTATCACCTTGGGGCTCCAGCCAAGATCAGGGCCCCATCATGCCAGGGGCAGCGCAGATGCAGAGCAAGAGAGAGTCCTTGCCCTGAAAAGCTCACGTGCTAAAGACAAAGTTGGGAGGGGAAACTGAGGTGCAGGGCAGTTACTTGCCCAAGTCACCCAGCAAGCTCATGGCAGGGCCAGGAATAGGTCGCCCCTGTCCCAGTGCAGTACCATAGCCCGAGACCACGATGAATGGACTGTGCTGGTTTTCTGCCCCAGAATAGATCTGATCTTTATGATTATTAGAAAGAGCAAGAGGCTTACTTCAGGGCTGGTTCTGAGCCAGCCAAGTCCCCTTGTGCGTGGAGGTCCTTCCCGTGAGCATGCCACCCTCTGTGCTTCAAATATCCTAGGATCTGAAGAATTTCCCTGCGCTGTATCCCATCTGCTGGGATTCCCCATCCTTAGAAGGGATGGGGAGGACACACATTGTAACAAAGCCTCAGTGACTAGTTATCGAACCCAGATGTCACCTGCCTGTTTGCCTTGTGTCTTTCCTTTGGGCTCAGGATTTCCCGGTTCCCGAGCCTCACGTGATATCCTGGATGGAACAAGAGGGAGAGCCACGTGTCCGGGATTCCCAGGACTTGGGGGAAGCGGAGCTCCTAGGAGGCACCTGTGCAGGTGAGGGAGATGTCGAAGCAGCCCCTGGACATCAGCCTGCAAGGGAAAGAGAGGAAATCCCAACACAGCTGTTGCAAGGGATAAGAGGGGGCTTTGTCTCCTCCTAGTGGCTGCAACATGTATTGCAGTATGCCTCTGAGCTAATGGGCCTGATTCTTTAAAGCAGGCTGTAGGGGCTTATGTTTTAAGATCCAGTGTGGCCTAGTGGATGGAGCAGTTGTCTGGACTTGAGAAGGCCCAGCTTCTATTCCTGGCTCTGCTACTGACGTGCTGGGTGACCCTGGGCAAGTCACTGTTCCTCAGTTTCTCCAGCTGTAAAAGGGATACCAATGCTGACCCACTTTGTAAAGCGCCTTGAGGGAACAAGTGCTATATACGAGTTAGGGATTCTCCGGCAGCTCCAGTTCAGTGTCTTCCAACAAGCTCCTTCTCGTCTAGTTCAATACTACGGGCAACACTTCTCTCCCCAGGGCAGGTGTCAATTCTAAGCTTTCCACCCATCCTCGTTGACTTCCGATTCTATCCCCCCTCTGCACGCATCTGACCTGGAGGTGGTCCCAGCAACCAAGTCCAGGGGGAACTGGCTCCTGCTGGATATTTACGACAGTCGCTCTCCAGTTTATTGCTTGTATTGATTCCCCCAAGCAAGCTGAGGGCCCCCTGGTGATAGGTGGTGTACAAATACATTTTAAGAGCGAGGCTGGCTGTGGTAGTGACATGCCATAACACAGCCTATCACCACAACACAGCCTGAAGCAGGCATCCTTCCAGGCAGAGCAGGGCTGTCCTCCCCAGCGTACATGTGGGAACAGAGAGCCCGAGGACTTGTCCATGGTCCTACGGGTAGCGGAGGAGGAAGTTGTACTGAGGTTTCTTGGGTGCTAGTCAAATGCGCTAACCACTGGGCCACCTCCCTTTTCCAGCACCCCCCTCCCTTGAAGAGTTTATAATGGCCCCTAGCCTCCTGGGCATTTAGGTGCCTAACTCTCACTGGCACCTAAATGGTATCCAGTGGGAGTTAGGCACCTAAAAACGTGTTAGGATCTGGGCCTAATTAGACAAAAGGTGGGAGGAGAAACAGAAACACAGAGAGGGAAAGTGACCTGCCCAAGGCGGTGGCAGAGACACAAATAGAAGCCATGTCTCCAAGGGCCGGTCCAGCACTGCCCACTAGTCTGCACAGCCTTCTCTGCGTTTAGCTCGGGACTGGATTCTCTCTCTTCGTTCCAGCCGCCGGTGGAAGTGTGAGTGAGAACGAGGGAGAGACGCCCCAAGAGGGAGGCGCTGAGCCGCCGGGGCCCGTCTCTGAAAGCCTCAGGGAGGCTGTCTCGCAGAGCCCCGATCCAGAGAAGAGTCAGAGCCGGCCAGAAAGGCAGCGGAGAAAGACCCCGGGCAAGAGGCTGGTTAAATCCCCCACCCAGTGCGAGAAAGGCTTCCGGAAACTCAAGGACATCCTGGTGCTGCAGCGATCCCACTCCCGGCTGAGACCCACCATCTGCAGCGAGTGCGGCAAAGGCTTCAGCCGAAGCTCCGACCTCATCCGGCATCAGATCACCCACACTGGCGAAAAACCATACACCTGTGCCGACTGCGGCAAAGGCTTCAGCCAGAACTCCAACCTGGTGACCCACCAGCGCATCCACACCGGCGAGAAGCCCTACCAGTGCAGGGACTGCGAGAAACGCTTCAGCGAGAGCTCCGCCCTCATCCAGCACCAGCGCACCCACACCGGCGAGAAGCCCTACAAGTGTGGGGAGTGCGGGAAGCGCTTCAGCGTCAGCTCCAACCTCATCCGCCACCGCCGGACCCACACCGACGAGAAGCCCTACATATGCATCGAATGCGGCGAGAGCTTCCGCCACAAGTCGCAACTGAGACGGCACCAGAAGCTGCATGTGGCATAGAAGGCGGGGGGGGGCGAGGGGGATAGATCGGATACAGAACAGGTGGTTGGGTGAGGTGCGGGGGGGTTTGTGAGATGGGGGGTTCCTTGCAGGGAGGGGGGGGTGGCATGGATGGCTTGCGGGAAGCTCTGTTGCTTAGGGACAGCTGGCGGTGGGATTAGATGGGAGACGGTTCCTATTTTAGTTATGCTTTTTTTCTGGAGGCCTAGGGGAGTTGGGTGCATGACTCTCTCCCGTTATATTGTCAGAGAATTTTGAAAATGCCAAAGGGATTTAAGAGCTTACGTCTGGTTGAACGACAGTGGGGCTTGTGGCTCTTTAAGCCCTATCGACTTTGCTCCTAAATCCCTCAGGTGACCTTGAAAATCGCACCTTGGAGGGGTGCTTAACTCCCTTTGGCGCCTTTGAAAAATCTAAGCCTCAGTTTCCCCAGAGAGACTCCCCACCCAGGGGCTGTCACTGCCTTATTGGTGAAACTGGACAATGCCGAGCCGTCCCGAGAATGAGATCAACGAGGCGGCGCAGACTGCACCAACAAAGCAGCAGTGAGAGGGCTTCGGGAGCCCACGGCAGTGGCGAATGGCAGACCCGAAGGAGGGGTGGGTACGCTGGCGTTGCAAAGAACCCCAGGATACTGGGATCCATGATGGAGATTCCTAGCATCCGCCCAAAGGTGGGGATTCAATGTAAGACGAGAGAGTCAACCACCAGGCCAAAGTCAGAGCCATGGCTGGATCAGGAGCACATGGGTGTCTATGTAGCATATTGAGCAGCTGTGCATATTTAGATACTCTCTAGCATTAGCAACGCGTAGCACTGGGCCCTGGCACATGCTCAACTGTGTTTTAAGTCCCGCTGAAGTGAGAGAGAAGCCGGAGTCCCAGCCTCCTATCAATTTAGTTTAACAGCCCTGATTCAGGCACGCACGGACTATTGTCACATCTCCTCTCTCTCAAGGTGCATGTAACGGCTCCGTTCCCATGCCAGCCTGCTCAAATGGTCCATGCACTGTCCCAAAACTTCACTGAGCAGCGGGAGGCTGATGAGCATGGCTCTGAAGGAACAGCAGAGCATGGTTTGCAAGGGAAAAGAACGTATTTTGAGGGAGGCCTTTTAAACAAGATCTGAAATCCATGGAAGAAAGATGGTTTTTGGGTTTTTTTTTTGGGTTTTTTTTTAGGAAAGACAAATCTTTGTGTAAGGCAAATGCTCTTGGAGTGGTATCCAAAGAAGTTCTCAAGACCCACCTAGTGAAGAGAAACCTTCAAAGGTTCTCTCCTCTCCTGGAGCCATTCCAAAGAATGGAAGGAGTAGCTGTGGCCTGAAAAGAGCTGGAGATTGAGGTTGTGCATATGGCTTGGAGAAGGGATAGAGATCTTTCTTGAGCAGAGCTGAAGGTCGAGGTGAACATAGAGAGGAAGCTGATGGAGAACGACGGGGACAGCATAAGCCAAGAGCAATCACCATTGTATAGTGCAGTGTTTCCAAAACATGTGAAAGCTGAGCCCCCACATTAGCCAAATGAAATCAGTTGTGCCCATCCCCCCCACTGTGTATTGTTAAAAGCTGTACCCAAGATGAGCGATGGATTGTTGATTTTCATCATCTGACCCAGCCTTGCCTCACATACTTCAGTGAGCATTGAAATAGCTCACAACACTGGCATTTAAAGCATTGTCATTGGCCTCTGAGCTAGTGCCCCATTGAAATGAACTGGGCGAGGAGCTTTTGTTTCAGGCTCTCTGCAAACTCAGGTACGTGTTGCTGTTACATCAGCTTCCAAGGTTATCTTCCCACCTATAACAGCTCAAGACCAGGTGAGAGCTGAGAATCTGGAGAAGAGTTACAAGGTCCGCCCCCCTTTCCTCAGGCTAATTCTTCACATGCTCCATTTGGGGGGGACACCTCACACATTGGGAAACGCTGATAGGCTGGATTCTCTATAGAGGTAAAATCCAGGCTGAAAAGGAAGGTAGATGGACATGTGAATGAGGTGAAAATGCAGCTTACCCAAGATGGAAGAAGAAGCTCATAAACCTGCATATGGTTGTCTCCACCGCACCTCTGTTCAGGTGAATGGTGATGATCTTCAGCTCAGTAACGACCTGCCATCATTAGAGCAGAAAAGTAGGTCCACCTGCTGAGATGAGGCTGAAGGCGATGGAATGGAGGATTAGCCGATGGAGCAAGGTTGCAAGTGGAGAGAGCAGGAGCTGATGCCAGGGATGAAGGGTCCTTGAACGTCACTTCAATCCAGTGGACGAAAAGTGGCAGAGTCAGATCCCCCAGCTGCAGACAGAGGGTAGGGAGAGCAGTCTTGGAAGGCTGAGAAGCAAAGAGGAGCAAAGACCAAAATGTTAGCAAGACTCACCACAAGGAGGTTTAAAGGGAGCCGTAAGGAATCCTAGAAGATTGGGAAAGGGAAGAGTAGCAGCAAAGTCACCGATTTGATGATGGACTTTGCAGAGCAGAAGGCTGGGAATTCATAGATTCAGATTTTAAAGCCAGAAGGGACCACCCTGAACCGCCTGTCTGACCTTCTGCATGATACAGGCCAGAGAATTTCCAAACAAATGAGGATCTGGGTGCAGGAACATGTGATGGCCACAACAAAACCAAAGTGGTCCAAATTATGGGACAAGTCAAGGAAGATCGCTTGGAATGCCGAGAGACCTGCTGTAAATATTTAAACAAGGACAACTCCTTTGAAAAAGGGCTGGAACTAAAGAAAAATAATTTTTTTCCCTTTTTTTTTTTTTTAAATAAAAGGTAGAGTCTTTTCATGAGATGAATGTTCTTAAGATGGTGTCTGGGAAATCTGGAGACCATCACAGTGAGTGAAGAGGAACCTTCAAAGGTTCTGGGATCTCACTGAGCTACTCAGGATAGCTACTCAATCTGAACTGGCTTAGATCCAAACTCAATGGCACCTATCAAAGCAAGAAGACATCCACAGGATCCAAGCACAAAATGGCAAGCAAGTTGAGAAGATCCTGGGGGATAAAATTAAAGGAGTTTCTTGGAGATTTAGACGAAGACACAGGTGGGGAAAAACCCCAACTCTAGGAAACCTATGAAACAAGATCGCATAAGTAGAGAATGGTGTGGTCCGTAAACATCAGCCTTTGATGACTACTGTCATGGCCACATGCTCTGGAGAAAACTGGAATTTGATCATGAAAACAACCACCAGAATCCAAGATTTTAACTGTCCAAAAACCCAACAAAACATCAATTGCGTCGTGAACCAAAGTTCAGAAACCGAGAGTCTAGCGGAAACTTTGGAGGATGGACAAAATCACTAGCAGAAGGGACTTGAGTTCCGATGGAAAGGGATACCGAGGCTGTATCGAGCTGGTACCTGTTTGGTGAAAGACCGAGATCTGGATCTTGAATGAGGGTATTCCCACATGCACATATGTATATCACTGTAATAGAGACAGGTTTCTTTTTAATGTCTGAGGCAAACTTAGCTTAGGTAACTATAAGATACAGTGTCAGTGTACATAGGATTTACTAGAGTAGCATGGTTAACGATATAGCTAGGGTAGAATAAGTTCCTAGGTAGATACAAAGTAACATGGGGATGAGAAGTTCTTCAGTGGAAACCCTGAACTCTGGAGGTTCAAATCCCGATCCAAGCTATCCAAAGACTCATCTCCGGTTCAGAGTAGAGCCAGTTAGTTTAAGGCCGAGATGCTGAATGAGGTGCCCAATTCCTATTGATTCCAATGAGAATCAGGCACCTAACTCCCTTAAGCAACTACTGCCAATCCCAGCGTCTGATGAGGAGTGACTGCAGCAGAGGCAAGAACAGGTTTGGATTTGGTTTAAGCCGATTATGTACATGCCCTGCTTTGAGCTACATTGCTCGCAAAACGTTGCGTCCGCCCTATACTGATATAAGTGTGTAATGGAGCATCCCAGGGTGCCAAGCTGCGGCTGCACATTCTGGGAATTTTTGCAATAGATTGTGGGATATCTGCTGGTGGCTAATGCCATTGTGGGACATGGGGTCAAACTCCCATGATCCTTCCTTCCGTAACCCAGAATTAATCTGGTTCCCACTAACCATGCTCTGGGCAAAATTGAATTAAGAGTGTCCACGTGGGATTGCACCGCGTCAGTCTACGTATAGGCAGCCAACCCCCACCCCCACTCCATATTCCTCTAATTTCAAGGGGATGTCTTGTGGAGGCCGGGTCTCCTTAGCAGGGGATGGAGCAGCAGAAGCCGGCCGGTTCTTTAATTAGAGGAAAACTAGGACAAGCGTAGTCGCATTTATATGCTAGTCACTTCTGCAGTGTCTCGGTGTCTCTTTTTCTTTTTAAATGAGCGGTAGGTTACTCGCATCAGTGGTCTTCGAGAGCAATCGGCCGGTCGCGGCTGGAGAAGGAGGCGCATTCCATTTCCATTGCTCCCAGCCGGCAGCTGGGGTCAGTTTAAAACTCTCTTGTGGAGAGTTTGCTGCTGTTGCGAGCAGAGCAGTTGGCATGCCGGTCAGGAACATCCCTTGCACCATCCGGTGCCCGAGTCTTGCCCTAGAAGCCAGGATAAAAGTGCAGACAAACGGCTGCTTGTAGATGTTGAATAACTTGTAGGATTTCAGTTGAATAAACGAGTGGCGACAGTTTTTTTAATTAAAAACAAAACCAAACCTGTTCCATGGGATCTGGTTTCATTCTTGTCTTTGCCTTAAATTCGAGTATTGCCAACCGTGAGTGATCAAAAATATGAGCCCCCCCACCACCAAAGCATCAGATTGGCCTAAAAATCTTGAGATGTAAAAATAAAAGCACACCTACAATTTATTATTTAATTTGCTGTCTGGGCGTATGGGGTCCTGCTTTCCAGCTTTTCTCCACAACCACGAGGGCTAGACACTGACTTTTGAAAGGGAGCCTGAGCGTCATGACTCCTGGAGGTGGGGCTTCAAGGAAAGTAACAACACTTGTGAGACTAGGCGCCACTGAGCTCTCTTGGGATGAGATTTTGCAACAAGGCTGTGAGGATTTGGGGCCAAGTTCCCCTTCATTCTTATAGGAGTGGGGTCCCCAAACCGGTTCATATGACTTTGAAATCTCAGGCCTGGTCTACACTAGACAAGTCGGCATAACTATGTTCCTCTGTGTAGACAGCGCTAGGTCAATGGAGAGAATTCTCAGGGAGATGGATTACGTACGCCAGCGGGAGAACCCCTCCCATCAGAGGAGGTAGTGTCTACACTAAACTGCTACTAAGTGTAGCTTTTGCATTTTAAGTGTAGACAGGCCTTCGCTCTGACTCTGTGGATGGAAGCCAGGGCTGCAGCAGCACCCGAACGCTTCCATCCACCAGATCATGAGAAGTTTGGGTTTTGCTTTCCCTGTTCCTCTGCGTTATAGCTTCTGTGAGAGCCGCCACGCAGGGGACTGAACCAGGGACGCCAGCGCTAAAAGCTTGAGCCGCTCCAGCGTGAGCTAAAGAGTTGTGACTCCCTGCCGAGCGCTGGGGAGCAGAGACTGGGTGTGGCTTGCAACACACTTCAGGGGGTTACACCTCCGCAGTTATCTGCTGCCCTCATATATTACAAATTCAAGGACCTTCCTCCACTCTCCCGGGATTTGGAGTTCAGCCCCTTCCTTCCTGTCCCTGCCACTCAGGGCTCTTGCCAGAACCTGCCGCAGGGGGCAGGGGGCAGGACTGGACTTAGTTAATGGAAAACATGAGCAAAGGGAGGAAAAAAAACAGGAAAGAGGGAGAAAGAACCCCAATAATCGGCTCAATTCTCCATCACTGTGTGTCTCACCTCATGCCACGCAGGTGGGAAATGAGCAGCAAGGTACCAGCCTACTCACCTGCGCAGCGTTTGCACCCTGGTGTCAAGGGCAGGCCAGCCGCAGGCCAGCACAAATCTCAGCCCCCAGGCTTTATTTTTATTGGCTGAGCAATGGCCCTATTGATTTTGGTGGGAACTGCCACTCACATCAGGCCCACCGAGGGCCCATTTGGTGCTGGAGGCTGGGGAGGCTTTCCTCCTCCCCACCCCATCTCACTTTGCTCGAGGGTTATGCAGCCGGCAGCACCTTGTCAGCCTCGCCCTGCACGTGGGAGTAGCTCACAAGGCTGCATAGCGGTCCAGGCAGGGGTGGTTGCCTACTGCAGGGGTTTTCAACCGTTTTCTCTCCCCCCCACCCCCATACGCTGTAAAAACTTCGCCACAATACCTGGTTTTCTGCATCTAAAAGCCAGGGCTGGCATTAGGGGGTAGCAAGCAGGGCAACTGCTTGGGCCCATGGTCCAACACTGGCCCTGCTTTGTGATCCCCCTGAAACCTACTCCTGGCCCCCCCAGGGAACCACTGGCCTACTGGGCACGCTTGAGGAAGCTTAGGAAGAGACTGGGGCTCACAGGAACAGACATGCCGGAGTTGCTGTTTTCCTTCAGCTCCTGGAGTCACCTTATTCCAAGCTCCCCAGCCCAATTAAGCCTTTACAGGCTGCAGATCTGGGTTGGCTGCATCCCGCCATGAGACAGCCTTAAAAGCGAGCGTTCCACTTAAAACCTACTGTCATCTGCTGGTGCGACGGGCCACAAAAGCCAGGCGTTCCGCGCCTCGCTCAGATCAGTGGGTTCAAAGAGTGGCTGTTGCCAGTGGCATCCGACCAGTGGCGCTAGAAAATTTGTATTTGATTAGGAATTTCAAATGTTTGCCCCGATCTGGACCCTGGGATTTTTAAACAGGTGATTGACTCATGCCGGTGGAGGCGGAGCTAAGGGGCCTGCTACTTCACCTGCAGCAGCTCTGGATGCCGAGCTGGGAGCAGCTGCTGCCCCGCTGACCATACCTGAACCATTAACAGAATTAATGCAATGCCATGGGCAAAGCTGTGGGCCCAGGCAGGCCCCCACCGTTACTGCTCTGTCTGTGGGGCAGGGGGAGGAGCAACAGAAAAGCAGAGAGCAGTCATATCAATCAAATAAACAGGGTCTGGTTGGTGATAATTGGACGTGTTTTATTAGCTTAAAAGCTGGGTCAGCCGGTGGCTTTCCCAGGTCACAGCTGATCGGGAGGCCAAAACCCCAGCTCATTTGGTCAGTAAATGAAATGACATCTGTGATCTCTGTCGCATCCCACCCTGGCAGACAGTGTGGCTGCGTCCCCGGCTAGCGGCAGGACCATATACACAACCCTGCTGGGCCAACTTCACTCGGGCAGTAGACGCTGACCCATTTAGCATCAGGACGCCGAGATCCCAGCCCCGCTGCCGACCCCACTAGGGGGTGTCGTGGTGCTGCCCCGTAACCCCTCCTTTGTTCTGCTCATTTACTGCCACACCACAGACCCACCCATGCAAGAGGAAAGACAAACAACTGGGCAAATTTTGACACTGAGTCTGGTTCCTTTGCTTTTCACCCTTCTCCTCTGCCTCTCAGCCATCTCTCCAGGCGGCAGCAGCTCACAGAGGTGTTGGGCATACCAGCCAGTCCAGCCTTGCAGTTGATTTTTTTTTTTTTAAGTGCCAGGAATATTCTCTCACGCAGTCTTTCTGTTTAAGTCCATGTGGCCTGCTGCTTTAAATCAACGCTTAGAAGAGAAGCTGATTTAACCCACACTCAGAGCTGTGTGCTGGTTCCTTCTCGAGGTAGCTGGGAGGTTATATCAGCACATAACAGCCTTGGCTGAGTGAAGATGCTCTTTTAGCTCGGACAGTGCAGGCCCACGCGTCAAGATACATAAGTCCCAGGTTCAATTCCCCCGCCATCCACTAGCACTGGGAAGTCTTTAGTTCTGCCATTCTCGCTTCTCTCCCAAAGAAGAAAACAATCCCTGAGGATAGGAAGTAAGTCAAGAAATAACACAAGAGAAGAGAAGGGGGGGAAAAAAATCTGTACAACGCCCACCATGTTCTGGAGCCTACTGTGATGGAAATACCACCAGTTGGAGGTATGGTTACTTGAGCTTTGAGCTAGCGCCCGGTCTTTACATCTGTGACGCTGTTTCCGCAGTCCAAGTATGTCACAGGCCGGAGTAGCCCTGCGGAGATACAGACAATAGTAACAATTCTTTAGATGTTTAAAAATTCAGCCTGGCCGGTATCATTGGTAACCATCTGGAATACGTCATTTTCCACAAGAGCCTCCTGTTTGCTTGGCAGGATTTGGACATGTATTCTTCAGCCACATCTTTATTATAAGTCAGTAGCGACACGTCTAGTTAAGGTTAATCATAGACTCTCAGGGTTGGAAGGGACCTCAGGAGGTATCTAGTCGCACCCCCTGCTCAAAGCAGGACCAATCCCCAATGTTTGCCCCAGATCCCTAAATGGCCCCCTCAAGGATTGAACTCACAACCCTATAAGAAGTGTTTTCAGTTGCTTATAACTTTGCCAGACTTAAACCTTGTGAGCTGAAATTTCCCATGCTGCTAAGATGAGCCAATGGTTACTTACCCTCACTGTTAAAAAAGGGCCTTATTTCTCATCTGAATTTGTTTCACTTCAACTTCCAGCCACTGGCTCCTGTTATGTAGTTGTCTGCTAGATTGAATAGCCTGCTATGGTCAAATTTTGTTCCCCATGTAGGAACTTCCAGACTGTAATCAATCTCTTTGTTAAGCTAACTAGATTGAGCTCCTTGAGTCTTCACTATAAGGCATGTTTTCTAACCTTTAAGTATTCTCCTAGCTCATCTCTGAACCAGCTCCAATTTATCCACAGCCATCTTGAACTGTGGACAGCAGAACTGGACCCAGGATTCCAGCAGCACGCACCAGACTTTGTAATATTTAAAAACCGGACACTCCAGCCGGAGTGCTGGAACCTCCCCCGCCCCACCTCTTCCCCTGGAGGTCCCACCCCTGCCCCGCCTCTTCCCCCAAGACCCTGCCCCCATTTGCTCCTCTTCCCCCAGCCCCACCTCGCTCGCTGCTTTTCCCCTCTCCTCTCCTGGGTCAGGTGGGACTCGCCTGCAGAGCGGAGGCTGGGAGCTGTGGCAGGTAGGAGGTGGCCCCTGCTGAGTAGGGGCTGGCGCGGGTGATGACCTGGCGCCTCCCTGCCCGCAGTAACTGGACTTTGGGTGTCCGGTCAGTAGCTCTGACCGGACACTGTCAGGCTCCCTTTTTGACTGGACTTTCCAGTTGAAAACCAGACATCTGGCCACCCCCTCGCACCAGTGCCAAACATAAAGATAAAACACCACGACTGTTCCTACTCAAGATTCCCCTGTTTATGCATTCAAGGATTGTATTAGCCAATTGCATCGGGAGCTCATTATCTACCACAACCCCCAAAGCCTTTTCAGAATCACTGCTTCCCGGGAATGAGTCCCCCATCCTGTAACTATGGCCAACAGTCTTTGTTCCCAGAGGTATACATTTACATGTAGTCCTATTATAATGCACACTGTTTGCATTCAGCTTAGCAAGCGATCCAGCTCGCTCTGTATCAGTAACCTGTCCCCTTCACTGTTAACCACTCCCCCCAGTGTGTGTGTCATCTGCAAACATCATCAGTGATGCTTTTCTCTTTTCTGCCAAGACATTGTAAAAATGTGACACAGGTTAGAGCCAAGACTTGATCCCTGCGGGACGCCACTAGACATAGACCCAGTTGATGATTCCCTGTTTATAGCTACATTTGCAGACCGATCAATCACCCAAGGTTTAAACCATTTAATGTGGGCTGTGTTCATTTTATAGCATTCTAGTTTTCTTAATCAAAATGTCGTACAGTACCAACTCAGACACCTTCCAGGGGTCTCAGTCTGTTACGTCAACACAATTACCTTCATCAATCAAACTTGTACCCTCATCAAAAATATATAGCACATTAGTTTGACAGGATCTATTTTCCATAAACCCATGTTGATGGGCATTAATTATATTACCCTTCTTTAACTCTGTTAATCAAGTCCCATATCAGCCACTCCATTATCTCTATTTCAGGGACCCCCTGCAACACCCCCCTTCACATCCTCCCACAAGGCCGGGGCTCTATGGGTCCCTCATGACACCGCCAAGCCAGGGGCTCTGTGTGCCCCTTATTCTCCTCTTGCCCCCATGCCAGGGGCTCTGGGTTAATGGGTGTCCCCAATTAACCCTCTATGCCAGGGTCTCTGTGTGCCCCCCATCTCTCCCTCCCCTCTGCCAGGGGCTCTGTGTGCCCCCCCATCTCTCCCTCCCCCGTGCCAGGAGCTCTGTGTGCCTCCTATCTCTCCCTCCTCCCTGCCAGGGGCTCTGTGTGCCCCCCCCATCTCTCCCTACCCCCTGCCAGGAGCTCTGTGTGCCTCCTATCTCTCCCTCCTCCCTGCCAGGGGCTCTGTGTGCCACCCCATCTCTCCCTCCCCCCTGCCAGGGGCTCTGTGTGCCCCCCCATCTCTCCCTCCCCCGTGCCAGGAGCTCTGTGTGCCTCCTATCTCTCCCTCCTCCCTGCCAGGAGCTCTGTGTGCCCCCCCATCTCTCCCTCCCCCGTGCCAGGAGCTCTGTGTGCCTCCCTATCTCTCCCTCCCCCCTGCCAGGGGCTCTGTGTGCCCCCCCATCTCTCCCCCCCCCTGCCAGGGGCTCTGTGTGCCCCCCCATCTCTCCCTCCCCCGTGCCAGGAGCTCTGTGTGCCTCCTATCTCTCCCTCCTCCCTGCCAGGAGCTCTGTGTGCCTCCTCTCTCTCCCTCCTCCCTGCCAGGAGCTCTGTGTGCCCCCCCCATCTCTCCCTCCCCCGTGCCAGGAGCTCTGTGTGCCACCCATTCCCCCTTTACTCTACACACCAGGCTCTCTGTGTGCCCCTGTTAGCACCGCCCCCCTGCCAGAGCTTCTCTGTCCCCCCCACCTCGGTGCTGTCCACGCGTTTTACCCTGGCTCAAGGCTCAACAACCGCTGCGGTTGTCGCCCCTCCCCCAGAGCTTACGTATCGGTGCTCCTCGGCCACGCGCTCCCCCCGCCGCGCACTGCTCTCGCACGGCGCCTCCTTCTCCGCCCCCCCTGTCTCCTCCCGGCCGGGGCACCTCCCCTGCCAGCTCCCCCTCCTGCCGGTGCGTGCGGCGGTGCCGGCTCAGGGTGGCGCTCTGGCTGAAGATGCGGCCGCACTGGGGGCAGGCGAAGGGCTTCTCGCCGGTGTGGACGCGGCAGTGGGCGGCCAGGTGGGGGCGCTGGCTGAAGCGCTTGCCGCACTGGGGGCAGGGGTAGGGCCGCTCGCCGGTGTGGGTGCGCTGGTGCAGGATGGCGGCGGAGCTCTTGCCGAAGGCCTTGCCGCACTGCTCGCAGCGGTAGGGCCGCTCGCCGGTGTGGGTGCGCTGGTGCTTGAGGAGGTTGGAGCTCTGGCTGAAGGCCTTGCCACAGGCCGGGCAGCGGTAGGGCCGCTCGCCGGTGTGGGTGCGCTGGTGGCGGATCAGGGTGGAGCTCTCCCCGAACCCTTTGCCGCACTGGGCGCACTGGAAAGGCTTGTGGCCCAGGTGGCCCCGGCGGTGTTTGAGGAGGTTGGAGGTCTGGCTGAAGCTCTGCCCGCACTCGGGGCACTGGTGGGGCCGCTGGCCCCCGTGGGTCTGCCGGTGGGTGCGCAGGTGCTGGCTCTGGGAGAAGCTCTTCCCGCACTGGGTGCAGAGGAAGGGACGCTCGCCCGTGTGGACCCGCTGGTGGGCCAGGAGGTGCTGGCTCTGGGCGAAGGCCTTGCCGCATTCAACGCACCGGTAGGGCTTCTGACCCAGGTGGGCACGACGGTGACGCAGCAAATTCGAGCTCAGGCTGAAGGTTTTCCCGCAGTCGGCACAGGCGCTGGGACGCCGGGATGCCAGTGGGTCTAGGAGATCCCGCTCAGTGGGGTTTTCCCCAGCCCCACACAAGCTCTGCTGGGAGATGTCCCCTCCAGGTCTCCTGGTGGTGACATCTTGGAGATCCCGCTCTGTGGAGTTTTCCCCGGCCCCCAGTGCGGTGGCGGAGGCATGGTGATCCTGCTCCACAGGGTTTCCCCCTGCCCCAGGCTGGATCTGCTGTGAGACGTCCCCTCCAGTTCTCTCTGCTTTCCCAGTGCCTTCCCACTGTGGGGTCTCCTCCTCAGTTTGGCTCAGGATCTGGTGATCTGCTGGAATGAAAAGGAGAATTCAGACATGGCTACAGTGTTCTTTAAAGTACTGACATGGTCCCCGATACTACAATCCCTCTCCCCCACTCCTGATGACCCCAGGATAACTTCCTCACCACACTCTACCTAAGGTGTTTACTATGGTCCCCATCACCTCTGTATCTGAGCACCTCACACTCTTTAATGCATTTATCCTCACAACCCGCAGCGAGGCAGGGCAGTGCTATTACCTACATTGTACAGATGGGGAAACTGAGGCACAGAAACTAAGGGTATATCTACGTGGCAATAAAAGACCCACGGCACAGCTGTGGCTGGCAGGGTCAGCTGACTCGGGCTTGCGGGGCTCAGGCTATGGGGCTAAAAACTGCAGTGTAGATGGTCAGACTTGGGCTGGTTGAAGCCCGACTCTGAATCCCCACAAGGGGGTTGGATCTCGGCGCTCAGACTCCAGCCTGAGTCAAACATCTACACTACAATGTTTAGCCCTGCAGCCTGAGGCCAGTGAGCCCGAGTCAATTGACCCAGGCTCTGATACTTGGTGGCATGGATTGTTTATTGCCGTGTAGACCTTTCCCAAGGGTGCGTTTACACTGCAATGTAAACTTGGGCTCAGATTCAGGCTTGCGCCCAACCCCCACTTCCATCTACACACAACTCTGTCTGACTCAGGCCTGGACCCCAGGACCCCATTGGAGGACGGGTTTGAGCCTGTGGGTCCAGCTGGGACTCGGACCCAAACTCCATCGTTTTGCAGTGAGGACGCAGCTAGACTAGACTCAGACCCTGAGTCAGCCAATCCTATCCCACAGTCCCATGGGCCGGCGTTCTTTGACCTTGCTATCCCAAGAGTAGCCAATGGATTCCCAGGAAATGGAAGCAATCCCCCAGTTCAAACAGAGCAGCTCGGCGTTTAACCGTTCCATTTTATTCTGACCCGTGAGCTGCAAATGCCGTGAACCACCTCCTGCGTTTGCACTAGCCACCAAGCAGAAGAAAATCCTTTGCCAAGCCTGCAGCTCCCAGGAGCACAGCCAGATTTTGGAAAATCTCTGGTGCGAGGCGAGCAAACCATTCGGTTTTAGTACGAGCACCGGGAATGCCCAGGCCTACCAGGAAATAACGAGGAACGGAGTCACTGGACCAGAGACCGCTGCCTTTCTCCGCTAGATTAAAGAGACCTTCAGTATCCAGTATTTTCTCCCTGGGATGGTACTTTGTACACTGTAATCAAGTCACGTCTGGATGTTCTGTTTGTTAAGTTAAACAGACCTAGCTCTGTCAGTCTCTCACAGTAAGGCATTTTATCCAGCCCCCAAATCACTTTTGTGACTCTCCTCTGCACCCTCTCCAGTTGTTCAAAGTCTGTTTAAAATGTGGACACCAGCGCTGGATGCAGTCTTCCAGTACCAGTCTCAGCAATGCCATATACCCAGGTAAAATTACCTCCCTACCTTCTCCCTTCTCTAATTTTTCCAGCCCTCAAATCACTGTTACTTGTGAACTTCATTCAAATACTCAGACAAGCATTCACCATTCACAGTGGGTGAAATTCACTGCAATGCAGAGGCTCACTCATGACCCATTGAACTACTAGGGCTGAAGGGGGAATTAAGTAGTCCATAGACCCAGTGCTGGCCCCCTGGCCTTGACCGGATTTTACCACTGTGCAACTGGTCACCAAAATCAAATGGTATCATTTCTGTTCTCTGACTGGATAACGTAGCCTTCATTATTGATGTCCACAAAGATTCATAGATTTCAAGGCCAGAAGGGCCCATTGTGATGATCTCTGACTCTGTATGACACATGAAACTAACTTTCTCGCGCCACAAAACTAATCTTAAAAAGAACAGGAGGACTTGTGGCACCTTAGAGACTAACAAATTTATTTGAGCATAAGCTTTCGTGAGCTACAGTCCTCCTTTTCTTTTTGCAGATACAGACTAACACGGCTGCTACTCTGAAAACTAATCTTGTTTCTTAGTTAAACCACACACACACACACACACACAGATTGTAGATCAAGCCTAATAGCCACTTGGGATCCTCCAGAAACAATCCAAACACTGTCCCTCATTCTAGTTCTGATTATTCATTACCTTTGCAGGCACCTCTTGGATTCAGCCATTTGCTGGGGTCCCGGAGAGTTGAGACACAGGGTTCTTCCATGCGAGAGAGGGTGTCAGGATTAGGAACACACCACCTGCAAAAGAAGGGTGGGAGGTAACAGGAGGTGCTGTGACTTGTTAAACATCCGCAGAGCAGTGGCTTATTTATCTATTGGAGGCAGAGCTGGCTGGCAAAATGGATTGTTTGGCTCTCTGGCAAATTCCAAAAAAATGAAAAAGAAAAGATGCTCAGTTTTGGTTGAACACTTTTTGCAAAATTTTTGACAAATTGAAAACACAATCACTGCAGGTTGAACAAAGCAGGTTTGTTTTTCTTTCAAACATTTTTTAATGGTTTTGATGGTTTGAATAAAATTCAGGAAAATGTTGATAAATTGAAACCTTTTGTTTCGAAAATGTCAAAAGGTTTGATTTTTTTCTGAATTTTTTTAGAGGGTTTTTTTTTTTGACACAAACAATTTGGCGAAATCGACACAAAACTGTGAAAAGTTTTGGTGTCGCCAATTCTGCATTTTTCACCAGAAATTGGCTGAAAAAATCACCCAAATCTACCAGAAGGCTCTAAGCACCCTAATATAATTAACTGTATAATAAAAACAGTTACATTAAAACCTCACCGGTGTTTAAATAATCAACTCTATAGAACCTGGGCCAGCCAGCCACCTTCCCCCTTTGTCATCCAGATCTATCCATTGGCTCTCAGCCTTTACTATACTGCAACCCCACCTTACCACCGCCACCATCTAGCCATAGAGGGTGGTCATAAGTCTCTCTGTTCTGATTGCGTCCCTTCTGGGGTTGAGAACACCTGCTGCTCCATAAGGAGCAGTCAGTCCATGAGCAGTTGCTCCAGGGTGCATGTAGCCCTAATGACAGCGTATGACGTGTTTGGCTCTGTGAATGGTCCACAGAGGATAACTACCTGCTACTAATAACAAGTAGCAGAGTTAGGCCTTCAGCTTGGGTGACTGCAGTTCAGTCCTGTGATGCACAGGATCAGGTGTTCAAATCCTGCTAATAAGCAAGCAGAGGAGTTGCTGTAACAACACATTTGCCATGGCTGCTTTTTGCATGTCTGGGAGGCTGCAGGTGGTCTAGTGGCTGGGTCCCAGGAGTCCGGAATTCCACTCCCAGACCTGCTACCAAACTGCTGTGCATGACCTTGGGCAAGTCACTTCCCCCACTCGTGCCTCAGTTTCCCTCCCACCCTTTGCCTGTCTTGTCTATTTAGGAGGTGCTCTCTTTGGGACCAGGAGTGTCTCCCGCTCTGGGTCTGGGCGGCACCCGGTACCACAGGTCCCTGAGCGCAGGGCGCTGTTGTAATACACAATCATTTCTGCTTACATCCTTTTTCACCAGTTTCTGCAGCACCTTCCACCGGAGCATCTCAAAGCGTTTACCAGCCCTGCCCCACTGATCCCACACCATCCTGCAGCGTGAGGGCGGCGTTACCATCCCTGCGTTGCTGACAGGGAAACCGAGGCACGGAAAGACTGGCTGGAGGGAACGACAGGGCTGAAGGCTGCATAGCCCCCTCACCCTGTTATCTCTGCTTCAGACAGCTGGACCTCCTCCTTCCTCCTTGCCCCAGCTGCCACCCAGGCCCTGATCCCGTTTCTCCTCTGGCTGCTTGCTCCAAGCAGCAGCCGTCCTCTCCTCTTCCTTTGCTTTTCCCCTCCCCTAGGGCGGCCTCCCCCAGGATCGGATCCTCTCCGCCCCACTCACCGCTCCTGCTGGGGGGTTGCTTGAGTCTCTTGGGCTCTCCGGGCAGAGCGGCGTCCCCCCTGGAGCTGGGGGACCCAGGCAGCAGAGATCAGACACCGCCAGGATTCAGGCAACAGGAAGGTCCTTGCTGCATTAAATCCCCCCTCCCGCCCCGCACCGGGAGAGCTGGAGGATCTCTATGGGTTTAAGCCTTTAAAAGGGTGAAAACACTTCTAGGGCCAAACTGACCACCCCATGCAGTGGCCAGTGCGCCTGTCCCACCCTTCTGCACCTAACCCCTAGAGTAGGTGGGGGAACTGGGTGAAATAAAGGGGCCAGACTGGATGATCTAATGGTCTCTGCTGGCTTCAAGCTATGAAATGGATCCGTGGGGGGAAGGAGGTCAGGGTCTGTGCCCGCCTCCCAACCCTGTTTCTCTTTGCCAGGCCGAAACTTTAAAAGCATGGGAACGGGAAGTTAAAGGGAAAGGACTTGAGTGCAGCAAAAGAGATTGAGGCTAAATATTAGGAAAAACTCTGAGGAGAAGCGGCGATTTTGGAACTCTTATTACTCTCCTTCCGGCAACATATTTTTTCAGGAAGCCCCACTGTGAAAAACCCAAATGGTGTTACATTTTTTGTACCCACCACCTTTCCTTTATTGGCATTTTGAGGGGATTTTTATGGCATTATCAGCTCCTGCAATTTTGTCCCAGGCATCATGATATTTGGTGGTTTTCTTAAAGCCCAAGCTTCTGGAGTCCTGTTATTATGGGAGACTCAGCTTTTTTTTTTTTTTTTTTTTTTAAAGGTACATTTCTAGTCCTGAGGATTGCAGAGAAGAGCTGGGAAACAGGATGCCAAAAGGAGGCAAATAAAAGAACCTCCAAATAATCATAGAATCATAGAATATCCAGGTTGGAAGGGACCTCAGGAGATCATCTAGTCCAACCCCCTGCTCAAAGCAGGACCAATTCCAAATTTTTGCCCCAGACCCCTAAATGGCCCCCTCAAGGATTGAACTCACAACCCTGGGTTTAGTAGGCCAATGCTCAAACCACTGAGCATAATGGTTTAAAGTCATGATTTTTCAGGCCTGAACCATGATTTTTGAACCCGGGGATTTGGCCAGTGCGGATTTCACAAAACAAAGGTTTATCCTGTGCTTAAAGTGACCTGAAAAAAGGGTGGGGAGGTCTAGCAGGACCAACGAGAATCTGACTGGTCAGACAGTGCTTAAAGCGTGCCCCTCAATTACCTGGTTTGGGGTCTGTGACCCCCTGGCAAACCCTCCCCTACCCGCACACATACCTTAACCACTGTGTTTAACGCTCCTGTGAAGCAGAACCCTCTACTTCAAGCTTGAAAGGAAGGATGGTGTAGTGGTTAGAGCAGTAGCTTAGGCCTGGGAAGACCTGCAATCAATTCTCCACTCTGCCATAGACTTCCTGTGTGGCCTTGAGCGAGTCCCTTAGCCTCTCCATGGCTCCATTTCCCCATCTGTAAAACAGCAACAATAGCCATGCATTCCAGAAGGGGTGGGAAGATCATTGCCGATTGTGCCCAGGTACTACGCTGATGGGGGCTAGACCAGTACCTGAGTTAGCAACTGATCTCACAAGCCCTTACGCATGTGCTTAACTTTGTGAAAATGAGTCGCTCTATTAAACTTGACCACAGTTAGGCAGCTGGTTTGCTGAGCGGTGCTGTCTCCTTGCATTCCGTCATCTGGTGTCTCTCGTCTTATATGTAGATGGGCAGAGACCATCTTTTTGTTCTGTGTTTGTACAGCGCCTTGCACAGTGGCATCCCGGTCCACAACTGGGCCTTCTATGCACTACCATAATACACCTAATAAATAATGTACAGTGCCCAGCATAATGTGGCCCTGGTTCCTGACCAAGACTCCTAAGTGCTGCCATAATACACCTAATACAAGTGCAGTAGGGTCCTGGCCTGTGACTGGGGCTCCTCCACACTATGGTATTACAAATAATAAAAAAGAACAAATCAATAAAAACAAGTTCTTTGCAGGTCGAGGGCCTTACCTATCCTACTGCTACCACCTGCCCCATAATATATTTCCAGGGTAAAGTGTTTAAAGCATTATTTTATTTGCACATGGAACTTCTTCGGTCAGATTTAGAGCCACTGTTTAAAAAAGCCGCAGTGTTTTGGGTGGTGTCGGTTTTTTTCTGGTGGTTTTTCTCCACTCCTCCACCCCTGCCCCACCTTCGCTAAATCTTCCCCAAGACATTCACCCTTGGGCCAAGGCCTGCCCTGGCAAATGTCAGCCCAAGGTGTGTGCAAATTCTGAGCAACCGCAATAGGGAGTTTCAGCGGCAACAGGCAGGAGTTTTAACGCTGGGGGTTGCTTCGTGATCCAGCCCCGATGCGAGCTGCCCTGGAGCCGCTGCCGCGCTGAGATTTCATGCGCCACCTTAAGGGGAGCCCCTTATCCGATTGATCCCACAGTAAATAGTTAATGCCCCCCACCAGTGCCTTCAGGGCTCTAACCCTGGAGCGGGTAGGTCTGCCAGCTCCCAGCGATCACAGCCGGGGGGATTGGATAACGGAGGGACCTTCCTGTTCCCAGCCACTCATTTAATCCTGCTCTCGGAGCCTGGCAGCTCCTGGATCCCCATCGGAGACGCCCCGAATCAGTTGCTTTCCCCAGCTGGAGCGGTGAGTTGGGAAGGTGCAAGGAGCGGCAGCTCCCGGGGAGGGGCAGAAACCAACAACGGAGGTGAGGAAGGGCTGGGATTAGAGGGCCAGAGCCTGGCGCGTTGCTGGGGATGGAGAGAGGGGAAGATCCGGTCAGCGGGGGCGGCCTGCGGCTGCGGCGGCTGGAGAGCTACCCGCTGAGCGCGTGGGAATCCAGGCCCGCTGGGGTTGAGAGCAGTGGGTGGCTGGGGTCACCTGGGACCAGCCAGGCCCAGCCGCACCTTCCTGCGGATGATTCATCGCCGCGTTGTTCTCCGTGGTGCCTTCCAAACCGTGCAATCAGTTACTGCAGGCGGAAGAAATTATGTGGCCTTATAAAACTCGGAGTGATTATTAAACGCGTTGCGGTAACGCCCAGCGGGCCCAACTGAGAGCAGGGCTGGGTGGGCGCTGCCTGGGCAGCCCCTGCCCCAAAGAGCCCCCCTCCTAAACAGACCAAGGGTGGAGGGGAAATCGAGGCACGGGAGGGGAGGGTAGCTTGCCCAAGGTCAAGCAGGAGGTCAGTGGCAGGGAGGGGAATAGAGCCTGTATCTCCAGTGCCTTGGATGCTGATTGCGTGTGGGTGCAAAACTCTGGCTGAGTGCTGCTTGAAAGGGACCTGTAAAGGGCTTAAATATATGGGCTTCTTTATTGGTAGCCTGAGGAACAGCAGGATTGCATTCTCAGCTCCGCCATTGGCCTGCTGCATGGCCTTGGGCAACTCACTTCATTGCTCTGTGCCTCAGTTTCCCCACCTGTCCATGGGGAATCTCTCTTTTGTAGAGTGCTTTGAAATTTGCTGATGTAACGTGCAAAGTATTCTTATGGTAAGGTATGGGGTAACCAGAGTGCTGTGTTCCTCTGAAAATCTGGCCCTTAGAGTTGGTGCCGATCTATCTTGAAAATGAGTTTGACGTTCAGAAGGAACCATTCACAGGTGTGGCGTTGAGCTGGCTGAGTGTGTTTTGTTTTGTTTTTTCTCATCAAAACTTTTTTTTAAAAAACAAACTTTTTAGGACTGATGTGTAAATTTATACTGCCAAAGAGTGAATTTTGGTCAGACATTTCTGGTTCTTCATTGTGAAAGAGGAGAGAAAGGAAGGAAAACAAAAAACCAGGAATTGGCTATTTTTTGGTCAAAATATTTGGATTTTGAAAACTAAATTCCCTTTCCTACAACCAGATTCCCCCCGCCCCCCCCAAAAAAAAGTATTCCTTTTTTTTTAACTAAAAAGATTGTTGGAAAGTTTGGAGAATAAAACCAGAAGTATTAGAAATTTCCTGCCAACCTTTTCCTACCTCATCTAGTTCTGAGTCTGCTTGAGCCTAATTTTAAAGCCTGACCTGAACCGAGAACGTTCGGTTATTTTTAGAACGGAACTGACCCAAACCCGATACTTCCCCCAAAACTTATGTCAGCACTGCTGCCGCCCCATCCCTGGGGCTAGGCCAGTGGGAGCGTCCCGTTCCTTGTGCCCGCCATCTGTCTGCAGCCAGCTCTGGGGGGTAGTCAGCATGCTCCCTCTGCAGTGCCCTCAGAGCTCAGGGAGGTGCTGTTGGCCATCAGGAGTAGGGTACGCTCCCACTGCCGTGTTAACCCCACCAGCAGAATGAGGTTGACCTGACCTGATCGGAGAAGACATGACCTGACCCCAAGAGGGTAGGGGTTTTTTTAGAGACATCCTGAACCTGACACTGTCCCCATCGGGTTTGGGTCAGGCTGCAGTCAGGCTCTGCGTTTGACTCCATCCTGAGACCGTGAGAGCTGCAGGTAACAGCATGGCATCACTGAACCCTTCCCCGTCATTTCTGTATCAAGCCCACAAATCCTGGATCTTCTCATGTTGTGTGCCTCAGAAAACCACTGCGGTTATGACCCAAGTGAAAATTTCTGCCCCAAAGTGCTAATGCTTCCAAAAATAAATAACTAAGGAGTACTTTCTTTTTTCCTAGTGAGAAAAGTACCTTATCGTCCCTTCTCATCCTCTTCACAAATGCCTGAACTGGCTTTGCTAAACTGTTCCTAAAAAAATTAATTGGACCTGGATGATTTCAGCTTAAAGGTCGGAGCAACTGGAAAATGGTGATTATCATGCAAACACATAAGCCTGGTCTACACAGCTTTTGTACCAATACAATTATGTCTGTCTATTTAAGGTACTTATCTGGTTCCCATTACTCTAGTGTCTGAGCAATATAATTATACCAATAGCATCCCAAGTGTGAATGCAGTTACAGGGGTATGGAATGGCTGACATATGAGAAGAGATTAATAAGACTTTGCACTCACATACAATCAGGATCCCAGGCAATGGAGATACAGCCTCTATTCCCCTTGCTGCCACTGACCGAGATTAATAAGACGGGGGCTTTTCAGCTGGGAAAAGAGATGACTAAGGGGGGATATGATAGAGGGCTATAAAATCATGATTGGTGTGGAGAAAGTAAATAAGGAAGTGTTATTTACTCATAACACGAGAACTAGGGATCACCAAATGAAATTAATAGGCAGCAGGCTTAAAACAAACAAAAGGAAGTGTTTTTTCACACAATGCACAGTCAACCTGTGGAACTCCCTGCCAGAGGATTTTGTGAAGGCCAAGACTATAACCAGGTTCAAAAAAGAACTAGATAAGTTCATGGAGGATAGGTCCATCAATGGCTATTAGCCAGGATGGGCAGGGATGGTGTCCCTAGCCTCTGTTTGCTAAAAGCTGGGAATGGGTGACAGCGGATGGATCACTTGATTACCTGTTCTGTTCATTCCCTCTGGGGCACCTGGCACTGGCCACTGTCAGAAGACAGAATACTGGGCTAGTGGGCCATTGGTCTGACCCAGTATGGCCGTTCTTATACAGGTATGACGTATTCCCCATCCCACTTGGGAATAGCTGTACTTGTATAACTGCATCCACCTTAGGTAGGCTGTACCTCTTTAATTATACCGGCATAAAGTGGTACATTTTGTGTGTGGACGAGTCAGATTTTCAGATGACCTCAGCACCAGAGTGAGGAGCCAGTTTTACAAAAGAGCTCAGTGCACACGGTGCTTAACTCTTCTGAAAATCTGATCCTTGTTTAGGAGCATAAAATGAATCTGACCATTTTGAAAATCTGGCCCTTGTAGCTAAAGTCTGGTCTACGCTTAAAAGTTATATTGGCAGAGCTGCGAAAGAACCACAGCCCTGACCCACAGCCCTAAACCACAAAACCCCAAGCGTAGACGCAGCTCTGTCAGCAGAAGAGGACTTCTGTCAGCTACTGTCGTTCGGGGAGGTGGTGTTTCTACACCAGCAGAAAAACTCCTTCTGTCGGGCCCAGTCTACACCTCCAAGTTAGGTCGATCTGGCTAAGTCTCTCAGGGATGTGGGAAACATTCACGCCGCTGAGAGATGTAGTAGAGCCGACCTAAGCCCTGGTGTAAATACTGCTAGGTGGATTGAAGAATTCTTCCCTAGACCTAGCTACTGCCTGTCGAGGAGGTGGATTAACTACAATGATAGGCGAAACCTCTTCCATAGCCGCAGCAAGTGTCTACACTACAGCAGCACAGCTGCAGCCACGTCGGTGTAGTGCTGGTAGTGTAGACACAACCTCA